CGATCTAATGAGAGAGAGAGAGAGAGAGAGAGAGAGAGAGAGAGAGAGAGAAGTTATAAAGACTTTAGAGCAGGCCTAACATTTTATTTATCAGCTACGATTCGCCCTTTCCATATTTTCGCTGAGTAAGATATTGAGAAAACAAAAAACAGATGCTAGAGTAACCAATAACTGAGCAGAGCTTTGAGATCTATTTTTTTTTATTTTCTCTTTGTCTCGCTTAACGAGACGCTAAAGAAATCGAAGCGTTTAGTTTTGCCAGCAAAGTATTAAACAGGTTTGGTTTAGGACATGAATGCTGTTACTTTTAGAGTAGTGGTTTTTTGAACATAAAAATTTTGGTAAATGTAAACTCAATTGCTTTAAAATTACGTACGAATTTTAGAAAGTTGCTGTGACAGAAATAAAAGATTCACTTCTCAGATCGACAAATCTAACGTTGTGCGATTTGTATTTCTTTTCTTGATTCATAAGGCGTCTTATTTTTCCGCAGATGATAAAGTTAAGTAAAGTTATGTATAAAGAAAAATTTATAATCTATTAGGAACAATTTATTGGATTACAAGGCGAGCATGTAAAAAAAATAGATTAATATTTATTCTTTTCTTTCCTTTGAATTTTGAAAATATACATTTTTTTCATTCACGAGTCAATTCAACCATACGTGCATTACTTTTCAGTCTATTCTTGCACATTGAAAAAAAACCCGATATCACATTTCGGATTGAGGATTCATCTCGCAAGATATAAAAGTGTGGCGCTAAAATAAATATTTAATAAAAAAAGAAAAAGAATTAGTAAAATGACTTATACAAATAATAAAGACTGTAAAGTGATATAGAGATTACTGCATCATATACATATATATAAATAATAATAATAATAATAAAGACGAGTCATTCGCTATCAAGTGTACCCGTAAAAAAAACTCGGTGAAGCTTCACGATAAAACTTTTTGACATACATTCGAGATTTTTTACGTTTCCGCTTTCGTTTCATGCATTATATAATTTAGAGGGTAGCGTCGCTATCCGCGTGCTAATATTACAACACTTAACAAACATTCAAGGTGTCCAACAAATGTTACGACTAGTCTTAATTTCTATTGTCATACTACTAAGATAATTCATTTATCTGTACTGAATTTGGAGTACTTTCTTTTTTACAGTTAGTTACTTCAGTTTCCTCAGAGTGCGATCCCCATGGGATACGAAACTACGGAATATTCGTGATTGATAATGCTTTCATTTTACCGATTCCGTCGTTTTCTTTTCCGCAGTTTTAGTTTTTAGCGGATTCGTGTGAATCTCGCTAAACTGGTTTAAATGAAGAAAACCTGTCTTCTATAAGAACATATACTTAATCGAAGGCAAGTCAATTAAGAGTCATCAGAAACGGAAAGGATTGTAAATAATACGCAAGATGCACGTGGGATTGAGCCATAGATAACAAGTCGAATCATTTAAAAGCGCGTAGCTACTCGCGGTATCCTGTATCTTCTTATTACTGACTACAAATAAATACGGACGTCAATACGGTCAGAAAATGAATGTCGTAAATAATATACAGAAAGGCAAAAATGTAAATCAAAATCAAAATGGATATATAAAATTGGCAGACGTCCCTATGTATGATTTCTGATCTGCAGGAATTTGTTTCTTTATGTCCCATTAAACGAAACTTGCAAATACGCAACCAATGCGAGCTAATGACAAAAGCTATTCCGGGAGATCTAACGAAAGGAAGGTTCTTGCGATTTATCAGCGCTAGTTGCTGCGCATTCCACAAATTTCGCTCAATGCGACATAGGAAAACACTTAGCGGAGCGGAATGAAGCCACAACCAATCATAAACGTTTCACAGTTCCGCATCCTATGAGAGCACACCCTCACTCTCAATTGTATTTTTTCTATTCATATGTCTAAAGTCTCTTTTAGGGGCAGCTTCGCAACTTCGAAGAAAATCCTAGAATGCAAATAAAATAGAGTGAACATTGATAATTTACGAAAAATACGTTGTATATGTATACAAGATGTTCCAGAATATTTGTACAATACTCGTATGCAGACAAAGTGGAAATCCTCTAGTATATATTACAATTTTCGCAATAGTTAATGAAATATTAATTTCTAAAGATCGCTGAATATTCATATATATTCACCTGGCCTACCGTTTAATGCAAATGCGTGAGGTACGATCAAAGCGGGGTTTCCTTCGTTTTCCTTTGTCGCTTGTAATAAACAATTTTCTGTGCGCCTAGTGATCACAGTCTAGGTGTGTATCGATAGATCGTTTAATCATTAATTCTCTTAAAACTCCATCAGTGTCAACTAAGCAGTGTTATTTATCATTGTGGATTTTTTACAAGCCAAACTTTTAATCCTTTTATTAATATAATTAAAAATCATTCCTAAAGGATAATCGTTTTATCCTTCAAAATTTCTATTATAAATTCTATGTTCTTACTATAAAATGTAGGATTTGACAATAAGATCGTTCTATCAACTAAACTATATATAGTTCCAATCTTATAGCGTGTAGAATGATTTAAATAGAACGATAAATACCTGCTCGAGAACGTCTTTTTATTATCAATCTAAAATAATAGTATTGTCTTTATTGATGACCGACAGATCCAAAAAATTCAAGCAATGGTCTTCCTCATATTCAATAGTGAATTTGAGTCTATCATGCTGTTCATTAAATGAATTTAAAATTTGTGATCTTATCTTTAGATGTGATCATAAAAACATCGTCAACATATCTAAAATAGAAACCCGAAATTCTAAAGAATTTAACACTCTCTTCTAAATCCTCCATCACAATATCAGATATAATAGGGGAAAGGGGGATTCTATAGGTGTGTCAAATGTTTGTTTTTAAATGACCCCATTAAAAATAAAATATGTTGATGTTAAGACAAATTTGATCGCATTAATAAATTCTTTGGTATGTTCGTGGTACATTTAATGGAATCCCACTTTCTCTCTAATCCAATAGCTAACGGAATATTAGTGAACAGAGAAGTAACATATTGTATTTCTGCGTTTTAACACTGAAGAAGGCTTTGTAAGCTGAAACGTTTGTGTAGAATATTATTTAGTATTTATATTTTTATGTTAATTATATTAATTTAAAGTTATTCTAATTATAAGCTTGAAATAAACCACGACATTGTTTAAATTTTAGTAATTAATTGTTAACTATTGCGAAAATTGTAAAACGGTACAGGATCTTTTGACTTACTTTAGTCTACTCTTTATCTGCACTCGAGTGTTGTCACGAGAGTTACTGGACATCCTATACACACACGCATGCACACACGCACGCACTTAAATTAAAAACCTTGAATGTTTTACTCATTTTTAATGATATAAAAAAATGTTTCAAATGAAAAGGGAACGGTTTCGAGAGGGATGTATTTTGATCAAGTGGAGACGTTAGAAAGATATGAAGATTATTTCCACTTTTTTAAATGGAATTATATAATTTTTAGATAATATGATCTCTAATTATTCTGCGCACATTAATGTACGATCAATAAAAAATTAATTTAGTATACGATTAAGAATATGACTAAGTATACGAGATTTAATATTTCATGTCATCAATAATGCCAGAATAAAGTATAAAATATCTTGTAAAAAAAAAAGATATAATTCCATCTAAAAAATCTTCATATTTTTGTTTGATATCTCCACCTTAAAAAAAAGTGACGAAAATACGTCCCCTTCAAAACCATTCCTCTTTTAATTAAAACATTTTTTTTGTATCATCACAAATAAGTAAAATATTTAAAGTTTTCAATTTAAGTGGATCACGCTGTACACACACACAAACACACACACGCATACACGCACGCACGCACGCACGCACGCACACAAATATATATATATAAAAATACATAAAAGAAATAAATTAAATATAAATAATATATAAAATTAATATAATTAAATACTTACTTGTGGCTGTATTTGCTACGGACAGTTTTTAATGTTTCTTTATGCTTTCTATGTAAACTTTGATTCAGAAGATTGCAAATATCTCTTATGTCGTCTAGTTTATAACCGCTATAGTATTCTAATGTTGAATTCCATCCTCCTAGATCTTTCATTAGCAATGCCAGTAACAACGCCGCTGCTGCCATTTTGCTATCACTAAATCTGATCATCGTATAATCCATCAACGAGTGTTCCAATATATACCGAGCCAGAGTTAATGTAGGCATGGAGACCTTGGCACACTATTTTCAGATAATAATGATTGAGTTAGTCTATAGATCCTATTCGAATAAGATAGTCTATCAGATTTTTTAGAATAGATATCGGAGACTAAATTTTAAAATATTAAAACAACTGATCTTCAATAGAAGAATGTAATTGTACTTTTTTTTTTACAGTCTGATGTGATTTGAAAATATACACACATACAGAGTGTTTAGTAAAAACCGTAACAACGCTCAAGAGTAGATTCCTGAGATTATTTTGAAACAAAAAATCTAATACCAAAATGTCGAGGCTTTAATAGTTTTCGAATTACAAATATTTAAAGTGATCGACATACTCTCGACATTTTAGTATTAAAATTTTCGTCTCAAAATGATTTCGGAAATCTATCCTTAAGCGTTGTTACAGTCTTTACCGAACATGCCATATATGTGTATACACACTCAACTCGGGTAAAATGGACCAGGAGCGAACAGCGTTAAATCATATGTTATTTTGTAAGTACTGTTATATCACATTTGCTCGTTAAAATCTATTTTAAGATCCAAGTTTTAAGATCCTAAGTTAAGATCCAAGATTAAACCAATAAAGTTAACAAGAAAATAACAATTGGAAATAAGACCGGATCGTGGAAAAATATTTCTGACAAATAAAAAGTACATTACAAAGATCAATTTTGTAACAAATTGTTATAAACCAATTATTAAATATTGAATGTAGAGGGAATTTACACCAGTCAATTCTACGGGAAAAATTACAAAAAATACATACAATCTTTCTAGTTTAGCCATGGACATTAAGAAAAGTATCGATACACAGGAAGGTACTCTAGACACATAAGGAAATCTTATTAATGTTATAAAATATATAATATTAGTAGTATTACAATAGTTAAGTTAATTAGTGAAATGTTTTTAAATATCAATTAGTTAATATCATATATAATATTCACTCTCTATCAAAATTCCTTTTCTTGTTTTTAAGAGTTAAAACCATTATTATTTCTCTCAACTTCCTTTACAAATACAAATAAACGTCAAATGTGTTCGCTCGTGGCTCAGAAAAATGTTTGAGATTTTTACATATTATGAAAGAAAAATATCAGATGCGCTTTGCTATTCCGGCTTGGAGGAACATGGAGCTTTCATTTATTGGATGATTGTGATTATAACTAACAATATAAGTCAATCAGGCCTTATGCATTAATTCCTATTGATTCGAAAATATATTAATTTTAAATCTAATTTCGAATAATAAAACCAATCTTTTTCTTTAAAAGAAAATTATTTCATTATCAGAAGAAGTATTATATCATCTAATATATTCATTTAAATCTTAAGACAAAATATTCTTATATATAAATCGGTAGCTTTGTTACTGCTTACCCTAGCATAACGCCGAAGAAATCTGTAAGAAAGAGGCACTCCCAGGTCAAAATTGACTACTTTTAAAACATTCATTTCCATTTTTATCAGCTCTCTCTGTGTGTAAGCGCCATCACATATATACAAGAAATCTTCCACCATTGGTGGTATTCTTTCCTAAAGCCAAAGTTACGAAGTTTTTACCATGAGCTTATTGTTCATGACAAGAGTACAATTATGTTAGGCAAAAATTTTGTGGATATATAATTATAAAATTTACATCAAATTTGCTCGCTATGAAAAGACTTGCAGCGCCGAGTAGTTGTAGAGTCTCTTTCCCGACTGTCATTTTTGTCAGATATAAATCGACAAGTTTTACAGCCAGATATAGGGTCTCATGATTCAACTCAAATGATTCCTGAACCTCAACCATCCAGTCGACTAATAGTGCTCTCATCCATTGCGAGAGACATACTTGCCGGTCCATGTAATCACTGATGGGGAATAGATGTTCTCGTTCCTTCAGGTATTCGAAAATATCCATTGCATAGTGTGATACCTGGTATGGATCTAGCCAATTTTCAACATCAAAATCCCATTGAACGCCTTCGGGTAATTCTCTTACAGGTATGGCAATCAATAAAGTAGTGGCTGAAACTTCATTCTCATTCGTAGGGGATGTAGGTTCTTTTTCTTCTGCTATTACTGTTGGTTTGTCGTTGATTTTTTCATCAACCTATAATATATATTTAATCTATTATAATACTAATAAACAGTATAAAGTCTTCTTCTTCCTCTTCTTATGTTAAATCTTTGGCCTGTGTTACACCTCTCTCATATGCTTGTGGTGTACGGTGTATTATTCAATTGTCACGAGCATATGGGACCTACAATTTTAACGCCGGTTCCGAACGGCGGATTTTTCGAGAGGCGTTTCTGTGGGCAGTATAAAGTAAAAATATAGTGTAATAAAAATATATAAAATATAAATTATCGTTTTTATAGAAATATATGCAATCAATTACTGTACTGATTAACAGTATAATTTGATCATGCTGCAACAACTGCGTTACACTCTCATTTGCCCGATTTCTCAGGATTTTTAAAAATATAAATAACATAGTAAAATGTTAAAAATATATAGTGTAATCCTGTCTTAGTTTAAAAAATTATTTCTTACTCCTTTTTAAAAGTAATTTTATTTTAAAAATTATATAAAAGTTAACAAATAAATTTTATATAATTTCTAAAATAAAATTACTTTAATCTAATTTTCTTTATAAGTTTTAATCTGAGTTTTTTTAAGTTTTTGCAAATAAATGAAATTAAAGAAAAACGTGGATTCTAAAATATTATACATAATAATATATTGCAGAAAGTTTAAATATATATATATACCTTATTGCTACTCCTGCGAGTCTTTTTTATGCTATCATTAACGTCTTCCAAAGCACTGACGTATAACGAATTATCCTCAGATTTTTCTAAATCTGCACTTCGTCTAATATTTACAACTTTGTTAATAGTTTCTGTTTTATCATCCTTTTTGAGAATAGATTTAATACGAGGCGCCGGTTTTGCTTTTGCCGGTACAACTTTTGATGTAGTAACATCTGCAGGTTTCTCTGAAGCAACGTTACTTCCGACTGGTTTGAGCTGAGTTACTACCTTTTTTGTTAGATTATGTCCTACTAGCGACGTAGTAATGGCCTGTCAGATTCATAATATAAAAGAAATAAATTCATAGATAATAAAATAAAATAAACATGAATTGAACATTAAAATGCTATGATTTAAATAAATTAAAATCGGTGATCGGAATTAGAACGTTTTTGACCCGATTTTCGTGTTAATGCCTGCCACTTGCGTTTTTACAATAAACGAATCGATTTATGTAACTGACATGTAAGGCTCTTTCAAGAATACTACGCGTAAATAGGATCGTATCTTCTGTTCACCAACTTATTATACGAGCAGCAAGAAAGAATTAGTAGACACGAAAATAGTGCCGAAAGTTGCATTTAAATCCGATTACTAAATTAAAGTATAAATTTATATTTTGTTATAAAAATTGATAGAATAATTGCAAGAGTATATACATTGGTGATATTTGTAAAAGCGTATCTCTTGTTCGTTTTTTCCTTAGGTGGTGAAAATACATCTGAAGATTTTCGCTTGACGCGAGTTTCTCTGCCAGTATTGGGTTTTAATGGATTGTTTAATAAAAAATGTTGACTCCTTGTTGTTATACCCTTCCTTAAGGTTGCAGTGCTGTTTTGTCTATTTTGTCCAAGTAATACTTTTGGAGGTGCCATTTTTCGGATATGATAAACTTTGGTACTTCGGTTCCTTACCTATTGCTATTATTCATAAAAATACATATAATTAATTCATAAATTATAGTTCAATTCATAGTATATACATAATATACATAGAACATAATGATTCAGAAATAGAGGGGTTTAAATTCTGACATAACAACATGCTAATATCTGTTTATCATACTTGGTAATTTTAGTTTAATTTATTCTGTAACTACTAGTGCTGTGCGATTTTTATACTTAGAACATGTGTTACTTTTTTACTCGTTATTACTTCTTTATATTGTATTTTATACTATTATGTAGTATTAATCAAAAAAACATTGTTTTACTGATCAATTGCGTTTTATGAGATCTCTCAGTCATTCAATATCATGTCATTGTATTATAATGTAATATAACTTATAATTCATTTAAGTTTATGATAAAGTTTTATGTTTATATAATTGCACACTGTCTGTAGCGCTAATTCTAGAGCTTTATTTTTTGGTGGCGTTT